GTACAAAACCGCCGGAAAAGGTTTAATTACCGCCGGAAAAGGCCGCCGGAAATGGGTGACTTTCCTGTAGTGAATTCATTTGATTTAAGCACATGGATTTCAACTGAAACTTTAGACCATGGTAAGCCAATTTGAGCATTTTTTGAGACATATTCCATCACTATGAAGCACTCAAGTCAATCAAGATTTATGCTTTATATTAAAAAGTGTGCCTGATCAAGTAATAATTTGTATGTTCCTAACAGCGATACTGTAAACTATTATTTTGAAAATATAAATGAGTGAAAACTTATAAAACAAGAAGAATTTTAATTTAAGTTGAAAAAAAAAACAAGAATCTTCTAGTTATTTTATGTCACTTGACCAATCTCCTGCTTCATCCTTAAATTGAATCTCTTCAAATTAATTTATATTTTCAAATTATTGAGCCGTGTTTCCCATAAAAAGCAAAGATTTTAGGTTGTTCTCTAAGGTGAAGATTATAATTTCTTTGTTGTGAAAAAAAAACCATGGTGGTGTCTTTGTTTTGTTCTTTGATATCTTTTTATGTATGTTTTAATATTGTGTCCTAATTACTAGTTCAATTCCTTCATTTCTTCTCAAATAAACCTTTTGCTTAGAAGTTGTACATCGACAAGGAGCTCAAAGCAAAAAACAATTTGAATCTAATGCAAAACCAGTAAGTTAAAGAGTTTGATTGTAAACTATATTATAAATAAGATTTTTGGGAATGTGAAATTAAAAGGGATCAAAGTTGGGCCTACTAAACTAGTGATCATTTCTATTTCAATACAAAAGTTTAAACCTATAAGAGAGGGCAAATTATTTAGTATTTCTACACTGACATATTTTCACCTATCCATAGTCGAATAAAAGATAAAGGCTCATGTGCCTTAAAATCTCTTCTCAAGAGAGCTCTCCACATGTGCTAACATTATCCATCTGGAAGTTTTTCTAAAGTCATCAAATATTATGCATCAAATATATACTATGAAATATTGCTCAACTATGATAGAATGCAGCGAAAAATCATGGAAGCTACATCCTGCATGAACTATTTGATCTCAACTAAATTGTTGGTTTTAATAGCACTTGTTAGGACGTAAAACTGAGGGGAGGGGTAAAGTTGGGAAAGACCAAAGTTTAAGCCTGTGGAGAGCAACAACCACTTATTATTTGTTTACCACTATATTTTTTACCTATATATTTTGTGAGATTAAGGTTTTGTTTGAGATGACTTTCTTACTACTTCTTAAAGCAGCTTTCTAGCACAAAAATTAATTTTTTTTACAAAAAAAATTGCTTTAAGAAGAAGTAAAAAAGCCGTCCCAAATGAAGCCTTAACCTAATACCTAAAACTAAAGTCTGTCTTTTAATTGAAGGATTATTTTTTCCCCTTATTTCTAATAGCTACTTTGTCGGCCTTTAAGCATCAAGTTTTTGCGACATTAGTATCTCTTCTTTAAAGATTGAAATTTCAGCTTCTAGATAACTGAAATAGTTGGGTGGTGGTCCTTACTGTATCTTTTCAGGAAAGACACATTTAATGTTGTGTGAAGTTAGCGGATCACTTCAAATTTTAAGTATTGTTGACAATATACTTAGTTCACTGAAATTGGAGAGATATGTTCCGCATAAATTTTCCAACTTGTACCATGACACTTGCCGCATGCAGTTTCTGATTCTCTCTATGCATTTCATGAACTTTAAAGACAAAATCATGTTCAGTATTAGCACAGCCCACTAATTCCTTGACTCAATCATCATATAGGTGATTTGACTGATCAGCTTCCACTGAAA